TTCTTTTGTTGTTGTTTTTTTTTTTCTGGAACTTGGAGAGAAATTTCAATTTTTTCATTTCTACAATAGATGTAATTTTTAATCTAGACATCTTAGATTTTATTAAATTATTCGTTATGGGTGTTAAAACATCAACTACGTGAGGAATGTTTGACTTGCTACCCTTAGTGGCCGTTTGTAGGAGAAACTATGATTCCAAGACCAGCTGTAAACGTTGTAAAGTAGTTTTAAGATTTAATGCGGTGTGAGCCTGATCTTTACAATATTCTCTTAATATGAAATAATTTAAGTTTTTTTTTTTCCACATATGAGGTTTGTGAATAGCGTTTAGATCTAATAGATCTAATCTTAGTGTTATATAGATCCCGCATCTTTCTTTCTCTAAACCCTTCCCACTTTGTAATCTGTACCCTATTTTTATTAGTCAGACTGTTATATGTGACACGTTTTAGTTCTTGGCCTAATAGTCTAAAATTAAATAAAAGATCAACAAGTGTTAGGAGATGCTTTTGAGTTATGTTATCTTTCTTATAGTTGTTAAAATTAAAATTACGGTTATGTTATGCTTATTATATATAGAAGAATTCATTCAAATGCCTCACGGTGGCCCAGCAGTAAGCTTAAATGCCTACAACGCTAAACATCAGGGTATGATCCCTGCAGTAGTCATAGCACAGGTATCAAATTGTGCAACAAACTCTAAGAACTTTGAAACTGATGGAAAATTGGGTACTTGGTAAATTTCGAAGGTTTTGTTTGTTTGTTTATTTTATTTGCTGTGTCCACCACGGGGAATTGAACCCCAGATTTTAGGGCTGTAAGTCCGTAAACTTACTGCTGTTACACCGCGAAACAAATTTCGAAGGAATTGTAAAGAAGAAAAGGAACTAACATAACTTTTAAAACTAACAGCAAAACTAACATGATTTTTAACACTACTAATGCTGCTGTGGTGTTAAAATCTCATAAAATAGAGAAAGGATAAAATATTCCTCTTAAAAACATATTTGAGCTGTGTTTTACTTTTATATTACCATTTACCTTTGTTGAGCATACAGCTGAGTTGAGACTCCAACATTTATACAATCCTAAGACATGGTTATGATAGTAATATTTAATGTCTGATATTTTCAAATGTTCTCATACACAATTGGCTGTCTTGAACATTGGTGATTTGACATCTAGTTCGTAGGTTTTCCTTATAAGTTGCCTACATCTTATTCACATTAAAAACTGTTTTATTCCCTTTCGTAAACTACTGTATATGTTATGTGACTTCAATCCAAACTGATATGCGGTGGAAATGATAACTGACTATAATGGTTATAATAAGAAGAATAGCAAACTATAATGATTGTAATTTATAAAAAAAATAATTTGAAGGCTAACTAAAATGTGTGTGATAAAAGATATTCATAGTCAAATAAAACATTCAGACAGTTAACTAGAATGTTTGAAAAGAAAACTGTATAAGGAAAGCTATATAGAATGTCTTATAAAACCTAGAGTCCGGATAGCTAACGAAAACGTTTGTAATTGAAAAGTGCTCCTGCAGAGCTATCTAAAATTTCTGTTATAAAAGTAAGAGTCTTTCTTTCCGGATACCGGTATTTCCGGATACCAAACTAAAGCTTTTTTTTAATGGAAAAGGTATCTGGAGAGTTATCTAGAGTTTCTGTTATAAAAGTAAGAGTCCGGATACCAAACTAGGTTTTTTTTTAATGGAAAAGATATCTGGAGAGCAATATAGAGTTTCTGTTATAAAAGGAAGAATCCGAATAGTTAATTAGATCGTTTGTAAAGAAAAAGTATCTGGAGAGTTAACTGGGATGCCTGGAATGGAAACATGAATCCGGAAAGTTAATTATTAACAAACTGTGATTTTTTAACATAACTTTCCATGGAATACAGTGCATTTCTTATAGTCAATACCCACTGTTTCATTTTCTGTTAAAATTAGTCCTCTTAAACTCATCAAAGACTAAATCATTTTGCAATTGTAAATGGAGAATTTTAAACACTTATTACCTGCTAACCACTTTTAAATACGTTACAGACACAACAAGCTTACGCAACTTGTGACCATGGCCCTGGGAAATTTAACTTCCCGAGCAGCTATGATAGCTCATGTTTCACCATCTGCAGAGCGTTTCTCCGAAACGTTATTCACAATTCAACTTGCCTCTCGGGTGCATCGCCTTAGGCGAAAAAAACTAAAGGTATGTACATTAAATTCTTATGAGTTGAAAAATAAAACATTTTTTTTTTAATTATTATTTTGCCTAATAAGCAACATATTTGTAGTCGAGATTAATTTCTTTGGAAAATCGGAAAGCTGGTTTTTGAAAGAAACGAATTCGATATTGAAACCAACTTTCACAAAATATCAGTCTAATTTAAGTACTCTTATGTTTAAAATAACAATCTCAGAATTAGGTACTTATCTTGGGACATTTTATGTACATTCTGCTCTGATTAGCCATGTTCTGTATGAGAAATATATAACCTTTCTGACTATTACGGTACAAATGGCTTTGGGCTAAGTTAATGCCTTAATTTTATCTGGAATTTCTTAAATAAATACGCAAGTGTTGTTTTTTGTTATATTGAGATGCTTTTTAAAAGAGTAATATCTGTGATAAAGTTATTCGCATGAAAAAACTCCTTAATCCGTTTATTTTTCCCAGACTACAGAAAAATATTAATTTCTAAAATATAACACATATTATTAAACCAAACTAATTTAATTTAAATTTTGTATATGATTTTTTTGAGTAAATCAGATCTAATGACATTCATCAAATGGATAAGCAACTACAAAAAAAAAATTACATATTGGGATATTTTATTTCACAATGTCTATTATACTTTTATTGTTCACATTTTTGTATATTTATAACCGAAAACCAATAAATGTTATTTACAAAAAAAAAAAAGCAAACAAAATAAACAACAACTTACGAGATAACAATATAAGGAACAAAAGTTAAATATGCTTATCAAGGTTTTACACGTATCAAGTATTTTGTATATTTGGAAATAATCAGTACTTCTGCATAAAAAGAACATCTTTTTCTTTACCGAACTCCACACTGTTTCTGGTGTTCAGTGTCTTTGACATTGATGCCAGTAGAAAGACTGTTCTGGGTATTCTGAGATGCATTATCGATAGGACTTTTCTTATTTTTGTTTAGCAATTTTCTTCCAAAGCCTCTGGAGACGGGGAAGGCAAAGACGTGTGTCAGCCTTGTGTCAGATCTGACGCTGTTAGCGAAGACGAGGCTGCTTCCAGAGTCAGTGATCCGGATTATACCTCAGGCAGTGAGCAGTCTTGTGTAACCGCCATCTTTGTGGGGAATCCAGACATTCCAAGGGGAGACAGTCGCTTGCTTAGCAAAGAGAAACACCAGAGGGTCCAAAAATACTCTTCTAAATCCTCAATGTCCCAAACACTTTCTACAAAAGCAGCAAGCTCGCAATCTTCAGCGGCTGATCTCAAGACGTCTGGGTCTTCAGGAAGAAAAGGAGCTTCACTTATTAGGTCTTCAGCGTCATCTACCTCCACATTCAGAGGTCGAAGTCAGAAGAAGAGTGCATTAGGATCGGTAAACCCCCATGTGCCAAAACAATATCAACCAAAAGATCCCTTAGGTTTTCTTCCTTCAGACCAGATTACACGAAAGCCATTTATTCAAGCCCCACGTAAGCTTAGTATAAAACATCGTCTTGAATTAACAAAACAAAAACATCTCAGTCCGAGTCGTCCTACGACTCCGACAAAAATTTTTTTTCTCAAAGGGAGCAAAATGTTCCGAGTGATGAACTATGGATTGATGGACCTCGGTTTACAAAGCCAAAGTTCGACTCTAAGACTCTTCAGTATCTCCAAAAGGAACAGTGGGTTGATGGGCCGGCAGTTTGTGGCACACATAATGACCTTAAAAAGACCATGATAAAACGCTGGGTGCAAGAACACTCTTTTTCATCTACGATTGGCACAGAAAAGAAGCAGTCAGAAGTTTGGATTGACTTGCCTGCCTCTAGCAAACTGAATGATCAAGTCTTAAGCAATTCAACGCAGTCTGACGGGAATAGAAGAGATTCAATGATAGAAGAGTCGACGAAACAGGGCTCCTTAAAAGCATCTGTTTCTTCAAACACTGCTAAAAAGGAAAGTGAAAAAAATTACACAACCAATGAGGAAACCTCTATGAAAAATGATTCGCCTACATTACCTAAGCATGAAATTGTCGTCAAACCACAAATAGATTGCTTACCAAATTGTGAAACAAAAAGTTATCTTGGTAACCTTTATACTAAGGAGAGTTGTATTTCGCAGTTAAATCAACAAGAAAATGTTTCAGGTATTCAGTCAACTTATAAAGTGCCTACTAATCAAAGTTCACAAGAAGAAAAGAGTAGCGCTGCTGCCTTTAATGACAGTGAGGACAAAATGAGTACGTTCAATACATCTGAACTGTCAAATATTAATACAACTGACGATGAAGATGACGACACTACAGGTAGCAATGAACTAATCAGAGCCCTTCAGTCCTTACACTCGAATGATTCAATTGAAACAACTGATCCAGATGATTTAGAAGAAGAAACAGAGATGCGAGACTCTTCTGTTCAGGTATCAGAAGAAGATATAGTTGCAAGTTGGTTGAGAACACGTGCGTTAATTTCTGAAAATCCACTTCCTGAAGTTGATCAACTGGAACTAAACAACAGGTATTTTCCTTTCCGTGTTTACAGCGAAGAAAATATACGTTTTCACGAATTAGAGCGAGACACTGAAGAAATGAGTGAGAAATTAGAAAGCGTGAGTCTTCCAGATGACTATAGAGCAGATTTCGATTATCAACAGTATCCCTTTTTCGAGACGGGTTATAGTCAGACGCATTACATACATAGTCAGCAATATTCCACAGAAGGAGAATATGGTTTTTCTGATCGTAGTAATGTTCTAGCTTTGAAATTGAAACGGCTGACCGAATTGAGGGAGCAATCTCAACAAATACGAAAGAAAATCATCGCTTCAGATTCTCTGGGAGGAAACCAAGAAAGGAGGTCCACAATGCCAGGAGGAATATCTCGACCATCATTAGGTTATCTTTCCTCCCAGAATCGTACTCCAAGTGATGATGATGTTGTCAGTGAGGATGCTTTAAGTATAAAAAGTGAGCCAGCAGAACTTAACGTGAATGTTAATCCTATGATTGGGCTGCGTCTGGAAGCATTCTACCAAGAATTGCATCGTATGTATCCAACTCCACGACTTGCCTCTTCTTTTGTAGTTCCATCAAGAGTTTCAAAAAACGATGAGCGGCTACTAGAATCATCTTCCATGGATTGCGAAGAAGTATTACAAAGAGGAGATAAAAATCAGTTCATTCATACAGATACTTCTTTAGATGTCGAACGCCCTGGTGTTATTTGTAAAAGGCATTTTATTAGGACGTTACGTCACCCAGACGGGGTCTCAAACGAACAGCTCAATAAACAGTTTTTACATGATGAAATTATAAGCTCTCATAAAGACTCGACGGCTAGTTTTCACAGAAGAACCGGAAGTATGGACAGCCGTGAATATGAAAATAGAAAGTTTTCTTCGCACAGCCATACAACTTGTGATGATGAATACAGACTTGAAAAGTGCAGTTCCTTTCAACATCCCGTCCTTACCACACCTTCCATATCGTTCACCGCTCTTCCTAGAGATAATTCTAACAGTCCATCACTTGATGACCACAGAACACTCTCTCATCAACAGTTATCATCTAAAGATCATTCTAACGTTGATTTAGTTTCAATGAACCATCCATTCTACGAAACTAAAGCCTTTTCTGCAAACTTTGAGAGAGTTCCTGGAGCATTGGCTAATTATTTGTCCCATAGTTCTTCCAAGAAACTTGACCAACAGTCAATTACAGGACAGTCAGGAGGTAAGAGAATACCTCTAAAACCAGACAAACACTGGAAGTTGTTAGGTCGGACTGGAGGGTTTTTAAAGAAAAATCATATTCCACGTAGCATCTCTTCCACAAACGAGGATTATTACAAAACTATGTCTAGTAGCCAAAGAAAGTTAAGTCTGCAAAATTCAGAGCAGTCGACAGAAACAGATGCTATTTCAATGACTCTTCCATCTCCGTACTCTAAAATCACCAAAGCTAAAAAAGCTCACTGTTCGAGTGATTACAGTGGCAGTTGTGAACTTGTCTCTGCCTGTATTGAAAGAAGAGAGCCTAAGCTCAGTGCTGAGACTCATTGTTCGGGGAATAGTAGTGGGTACGAAAGCATGCTTCGTGACAGTGAGGGTACGTCGTGCAGTCGAGACTCGGAAAGCGAAGGACCTGGAGTACGAAGAGGCAACGAACAGAAAGATTCGAAAAGGAAAATTTTAGGTATGTTTATAAAACTTTCTTTGTTCAATATTTGCCGATGACGAGTAAGTGATATTATTACATGTAGCGTCCAAAAAACGAAAATCAAAGGTGAAACTATGAAATCAACGTTATGTCGCAGCTGAGTTTTAATTAAATAAATCAAGATATTGCGAGTCACCATATAGACCTAAACCTAAACCACAGTTGATTACGGTTTGATTTTGATGTTTCTTTCAAAGAAAACATGAGTATGAAATATAAGCTCAGTAACGTGTAATTTTTGTGATTGTATTAATTGGTAAATCAATATTTATTTTGTCCAACTTAAATGAAACATGTCAGTCTTTACAATACAATACGTCGTCGTTAGACAAACCAATAAACAGAATTATTGAAAATGTTATAAGGTAGAGTAAATATACTTTATATGCTACGTCGGTGTAGAGTAAATATAATTTACATGCTATGTCGGTATACAGTAAATAAACTTTGCATGCTACGTCGGTATAGAGTAAATAAACTTTGCAAGCTATGTCGGTATACAGTAAATAAACTTTGCATGCTACGTCGGTGTTGAGTAAATAAACTTTGCAAGCTATGTCGGTATAGGGTAAATAAACTTCGCATGCAACGTCGGTGTTGAGTAAATATACTTTACATGCAACGTCGGTGTAGAGTAAATAAACTTTGCAAGCTACGTCGGTGTAGAGTAAATAAACTTTGCAAGCTACGTCGGTGTAGAGTAAATATACTTTACATACTACGTCGGTGTTGAGTAAATATAATTTATATGCTACGTCGGTGTAGAGTAAATATAATTTACATGCTATGTCGGTATACAGTAAATAAACTTTGCATGCTACGTCGGTGTTGAGTAAATAAACTTTGCAAGCTATGTCGGTATAGGGTAAATAAACTTTGCAAGCTATGTCGGTGTAGAGTAAATATACTTTACATGCAACGTCGGTGTTGAGTAAATACACTTTACATGCAACGTCGGTGTAGAGTAAATAAACTTTACATGCTACGTCGGTGTTGAGTAAATATACTTTACATGCTACGTCGGTGTTGAGTAAATATAATTTACATGTTACGTCGGTGTAGAGTAAATATACTTTACATGCTACGTCGGTGTAGAGTAAATAAATTTTACATGCAACGTCGATGTAGAGTAAATAAACTTTACATGCTAGGTCGGTGTTGAATAAATATACTTTACATGCAACGTCGGTGTAGAGTAAATATACTTTACATGCTACGTCGGTGAAAGAGAGTTGTTTTCATCAAGCTCTAAATATCAAAGAGCTCATTCTACGTAGGTTCAATTTTGTAAAGAATGCGTTGATACATCTGAATGAAATTTTTTTCTAGTTTAATTTGTGCGAAGTTTCGAGCAGACGCCCTTCGTCAGGCAATAAAGATCATCTGCTCGAAACTTCACACAAAATAAACGTGTCAGTTTATTCCTTTGTATCATTTATCCAAATTTTTCTTCTCGACAACTCATTAAAAATTTGAAAAATTCCACGTGAACAAACTTCAATGCATAAATAACACAGGCCTGCGAAAATATACTTC